TTTTTTTTTCTATTTTATCATTGTGTGGGTAACATATGTTTAGGAAAAGGTATTGTCATTATGACAATCCATAAGATTTTATACTACAGCCTATTTACTCTCTTTTATATGTATCAAACTTGAGATGTACACAGAACTTCTTTTCAACTCCTCACATTTTGGGTTTTTTTTTTTTGTACCAGAATATCTACTGATGGTATCAGTGATTACAGTAATGTATTAATGAATGGTTTGTCTGATGACTACTGGACATAAGAAAGATGTTTGAAATGTATATGTTATTTTATTTTGAAAAATAAGTCTCAATAAATATACATTTAAAATGAAATAAGAAACACATTTAGAAAATGGACCGTAAAAATGATTTCCCAGATTTCTTTTTAAAGTGTGGGTATGATATGATTGTGATATAGCACTGCAAAGCACAACGGCCCCACAGTGAAATATCAACTTCCAACTCAGCTGAGGGATTTTACAGAACATAAACATCAGGGCAGAGATGAAGCATTTGTTTTCAAAGGAGGTAGTTATATTGCCATCATGTTCCCTTCAAATTAATTTACATCTAGTTTAGCGAATGGTAGAATAAAACTGAAATATTTAACTATCCAATCAAAAGTGTGAACATATTTGTTTGGAAAAATAAATGAGCCACATATGTAGAACATAAACAAAAAGGAACTCTGGATTCAGAAGCAGTTGATTTTTCTCTCAGCCCAGAATTGTGTTTCTGTGATTGTGACTTTTAATTTAAAGTGATAATAGGCTTAAGACTTGATTAGGTTTGAGCATTTGAAAAAGGTTGAAAGGATTTTTCTTCTCAGTGTGAGCATGCTCTGAATCATAATCATAATGTGCTGCATGAATCTAAATGCTTTTAGTTCATTCAACCTAATCTTATTTTTTAATGTGATTCACCAACATTTATAGACCTCTAAAACATTTAGTAGATGGCTTTATAGATTTCTCCTGGTAATGTGAGCAGGCTGTCTCAATAAAAATCCTGGCTTTTAGCTATTATCATAATTTTTAATACAAATTGCA